AGCTCCACCGACGGCCCCAGTGGCAGGGTTCGCATGCCGCCCCCACCCCACTTTGGCACACCCCTCACGCATTTCGTGGCCCCATAGGGTGCTCTACCGAAGGCCCCCGTGGCAGGGTTCGCATGCCGCCCCCACCCACTTTTGCACACCCCTCACACGTTTCGTGGCCCCATTGGGAGTTCCACCGACGGCCCCAGTGGCAGGGGTTCGCATGCGTCCGCGCCACCCATGTCGACACACCCTTGACACGTTTCGTGGCCCCATAATGAGCTCCACCGAAGGCCCCAGTGGCAGAGTTGGCATGCCGCCCCTCGCCCATTTCGGCACACCCCTCACACGTTTCGTGGCCCCATAGGGAGCTCCACCGAAGGGGCCCCAGTGGTTGCGTTCGCATGCGTCCCCACCACCCATTTCGGCACACCCCTCATACGTTTCGTGGCCCCATAGGGAGCTCCACCGAAGGCCCCAGTGGCTCCCCACCACCCATTTCGGCACACCACTCACACGTTTCGTGGCCACATAGGGAGCTCCACCGAAGGCCCCAGTGGCTGCGTTCGCATGCCTCCCCACCACCCATTTCGGCACACCCCTCACACGTTTCGTGGCCCCATAGGGAGCTCCACCGAAGGCCCCAGTGGCAGGGTCCGCAAGCCTCCCCACCACCCATTTCGGCACACCCTTCACACGTTTCGTGGCCCCATAGGGAGCTCCACCGAAGGCCCCAGTGGCGCGGTGCCTATGAGAAGAGGGGCCTAGTTTGCGTGCCCTCTCCTTCGTCTCATATCCGTGCGGTACTCGCAGCTGCATATGGTTGGGTCCTTCGCCAGGCTTTTTTTTTTTCTTTGTTAATTTTCATTTTTTCTCCACAATCCGCCTCTAGGAGCCTTCCCCCTCTCCCCCCCACCCCCCGGTGCGCGCCGATCCAAGTCCGGGTCAGAAAGGAGAGGACGCTCTCCCGGACCCCCGACGGTTTATCTTTGTTGCTGTGCGATCCCGGACCGCAAGGGAGAGGCGCGGCGCTCGCCAGCGAGAGCCTCGCCCTTCGAGGGCTCGAGGAGCTCCCGGCTCCTCCCTCCTCCTCCTCCTCCTCCTCCTCCTCCTCCTCCTCCTCCTCCTCCTCCTCCTCCTCCCTCCTCCTTCTCTTCCTCCTCCTCCTCCTCCTCCTCAATTTCGGCCTCGGGGGCCCGTTGTGTGGGGGCCCCGGGGGCCCCCAGCAGCTTCTCCGGGGGCGAAAACTCCGGCGGCTCCCGCCGTGCGGGTTGTGTGCCGTGCGGGAGACCCCTCTGGCAGAGTGTGTTCGGCACAGTCTTTGGCCCCCTTCTCGCCAGCGCCGGGTCAGAAGCCTCCCCGCCGTCCCTCCGAGGGGGCGGGAAATGATAGCCCCAGGGCAGGGAGCAGGGTTGTTACAAAAACGGGTTCTGGGGCCGCGCAGGGAGCAGGGCCTCTGGGGCCGCGCAGGGAGCAGGGCCTCTCGCGTCCGAGGCCCGGGGAGCGCAGCGGTGGGCGTGGCGCCGCCGGGAGCCCGCCCGCGCGCCGCTCCCTCGCTCTGGCCCGGAGGCCGGGTGGTCGTTTTTTCGTTCGCTTCTTCACTCGGGGGGCGGCAAAGAGGGGGGTGATGACTAGGGGGGGTGGATATCATGGCGTGGGCCATGATTTTTCCCCAGATCTCATGGGGCCTCTTCTTACTTCATTACGCCCCTGGTCCCCCCGCTGGGCCGCGCACATGCCGCCAGGGATGATTTGCCACCCCCCTCCTTGACCCCCCCCTCTTGGCCGCTCCCGACTCGTTCTGGTCCGAAGGCTTGGTGGTCGCTTTTTCGTTCTCTTCTTCACTGTTTGTCGGCGCGAACGAAGTGGGTACGGAAAGAATGGGTACGATGCCCAACACCAGTTCCTGTGCATTTTGAACGGGGCTCGGTGGCAACGCCGCCGCGGCCTGTGTCCATTCGGGACAGGAGGCCGCCTGCCCAACAGCGGCCGCTTTTGGTTTGGGACAACATCAGTTGTTGGGCATTGTACCCATTTTTTTCGTACCCATTTCGGGCGTTCAAAGTTTTGCCGATTGGCGCGGGCCTTCGGAACTCTGGGCCTCCCAGATGGGGTCGGAGCAGACGGGGTCGGAGGATCGCGCCGCATCGCCGATACCTCGGCGATGCGGCTCGATGCGGAGCCCGATGTGCTTCACGCGGACGTCGCCGATGCGGCGCGATCCTCCGACCTCATCTACTAGGACCTCGTCTTGGAGGCCTCTAGTAACCCCTCTCGCCTTAACCCACTTTCCTCCCCCCATGAGTACTCCAGATCTCGTAATAAAAGGGAGGGGGTCTGGACCCTCCAAGACAAGCCATTTCAGACCCCCCCCGTGGGAGAACCCTCCAAAACATCGTCCCCAGACCCCCCCAGGCCCTCCAAGATAGCCTGGAAGAGACCCCCCCCCGAAATGAGACCCCCCTCACTTTATTACGAAATCTGGAGTAGACCTTGCATGTTTTTGGGTCGAGCAGGTGGAGTCTGCCCCGGCAGGACGCGCTGCTGCAAAAGCCGTTCGCGCTGATAAGCGGCGCGGGTTCGCCGCGCGGGTCCGGAGGCCAGAACCCCCTCCTCCTCATCCTCCTCCTCCTCCCTCCCTCCTCCCCCCGCCTCCTCCTCCTCCTGCCCTCCCTCCCCTCCTCCTCCTCCTCCATCTCCTCTCCTCCCTCCTACTCCTCCTCTCCTCCACCCCTCCTCCTCTTCCTCATCCTCCTCCTCCTCCTCCTCCCTCCTCCATCCTTCCTCCCTCCTCCTCCTCCTCCTCCTCCCCCCGTCCCGCCCAATATCGAAACGCCAGGTAAGCAAACGCTCGCCTGGTCGCTCCTTAGCAGTGACGCTCTGATGGCTTCCGCACGGCGACGTGCCCTCGATCCTGCTCTTGCTCCCCCAGTAGGGGGCCACTTGCGAACCCTACCCCTACCCCCCACGATTTCTGAGGGGGAGGGTGGGGTTCACTCCGTTCGGGAGCTCCCAAGCGAAGTGAACCCCGCCCTCCCCCTTAGAAATCGTGGGGGGTAGGGGTAGGGTTCGCATGTGGCCCCCTCCCCCAGTCTCGGGGGGGTGGATCTCGCGGCCAGGGCCGCGACCTCTCCCGGATATTCACGGCTCACGGCTCTCCCTTCGTTCTGCTTCCAGTGCCGTTTTTGATACATGCTCCGCGTGCGGATCATGCATAAAAAATGCAGGGATTCAATATTGAAAACAACGATGAGTTCATGCATGAAGTTATTCATGCATTAATCATGTATCAAGCGTCCTATATATACATATATATATACATAGTTGTTTGTTTTTGTTTTTGTTTTGGTTTTTATGTTTTTAATTATTGTAGATCCGATGTATTAAAAGCTGCCCTGTCTTTCTATGCGCTCCTTGCCCCCGCCCCTTTCTCGCTCGCGCGCCTGCCTCGGGCCCTTCTCGGATGGCACGGGCCCTCTCCACAGATTTTGGGGCTGGCGCCCTCTGAGAAGCGGCCTCCTCCTGAGAAGCCTCCCCTCCTCCCCCTGCCCCCTTGAGGGGGCCACAGGCGAACCCTGCCCCTACCCCGCACGATTTCTGAGGGGGGGGTGGGGTTCACTCCGCTCGAAGTGAATCCCACCCTCCCCCTCAGAAATGGTGGGGTTCGCATGCGGCCCCCTAAAGCCTCCCCTCCTCCCCCTGCCCCCCTGTGCGCGCCGCCAGCGGACCCCCCCCCCCCTTCCGGACCCCCCTGCCTGCCGCCGATCCGAGCTGACCCTGCTCGGCTTCTGAGTGCTTCGGTTCCGGGTCAGGGCGTGGCCCCAGCCCGTCGCGTGGAGGCCGAGAGCCTCTGCAAGGGCGCCCTCGAGGGCGCGAAGTTCTTCGCGCTTCGCGCTTCGCGGTTCGGCTCCGATTCCTCCTCGTCCTCCTCTTCTCCCCTGGGAGGCGGCGCGAGAGCACGAAGTTGTTCGCACTTCGCGCTTCGCGCAGCGCGAGGCGCGAAATTGGGAGCCCTTGCTCTGCCCCTGGCCGCTGGGGACCCTGCCCAGGCAGGGGGCCAGGCTCACGGTCGGACCGAGGGACAACGATCGAGGTCGGTTCGGGGAGGCTATCCTAAGTGTTCTTCGTGCCTGTTGGATGCTCTTGTGCATCCTGCGGGAGGCTTGCTCTCTCGAGTGATCTTATATGGTTTGGGGTGTTTTGGCCAGTGGAGGGTATCATCTTCCTGGAGGATGCTTTTCTGTCCTAGGTCCGAGACTCTGTTCCGGTCCCTCGGGCCCCAACTCCACAACATACCGTTTTCGTACTCTCTGGCGAGAGCGGGCGTGACCATGGGGGGGAGAGGGAGCGGGTCACGTCATGATTCGCGCCTGCGCCGTCTGGGAATGCCTGAGAATGGCTCATTCCTAGGCGGCGCCGGTGCGAATCCTACCAGCCACCTCCCGCAGCCGCCGCCCACTTCCCACTGCCACCAGCACCACCGCCGGGCGTTCTCTCTCTATCGTCTTATCATCGCCATCTACAGCCATTGCAATCGTCATCGGCGTCGCCATCATCAGGACCATCAGAGACGACAGTCATGTCACCACCAGCTTGGCTTCTTCCTTCTCGGCTGGCCATGCCCTGTATTGATTTCCCGGTGTCCACGTATAATGTCCGTATTCCATGCCTTGCGTCCCATATGATTTACGCAGATCTGGCCAGCATCGGCTGTGTCTTCCCATGGAGTGTAGCGGAGCCATGCTCAAGAGGATGCTCAAATGCACTCGAGCCTCAGGCGTTTCGCCATCCCCGCATGTTTCGGTGCGTCAGCCCTATGGTGGCCCCAATCACCTTCCGCGCCCCGTCTCTGTGTGAGGGGTACCCGCACGGATCATGCAGGGTGCGGCCGGATGCTTGCATGGCGCTGTCGTGCATCCTCACGCTGCCCATCCGATTCCGACTCCGATCCAACGCAGCCCGATTCGACGCCCGCACGATTCGACGCTCCGTGATCCCCCTCGCCCGGCGAGGACCTCACGCTGACGAAGGACGTCATCACGGTGGAGGCAGCCCAAGCTTGAGCGAAGTGTCATCTACCATCTACAGTGGGGGCGCACATCAAGACACCAGTTGCTTTTCGTCAGGGTACGCGGCAGACAGCAGATTTCTTGATCTCGGGCATGGCGGATGGTGGGCTCCGGGGATGTTGAGATTAGTTAATAGCGGACGCACCAGATGCGCCTCGTGGGGAACCACAGACAGCACCATGAGTTTTAGCAGAGCGCTGAGATGTGGCGGCGGGCCCATCTTTGCGCTGGTGTCGGCCTCGCCGTCCGACGACACCGCATCATGGTCTGCCGTAGTCGTGAGGTCGTAGACAAATCCGCGTGCCTTATGCCCTCGTAGACGATGCAGTGAGGTCGGAGACTCCCTGGAACAACTGTACAGACGGTGTGGAAATAAGGAAGGATGTAAATGGTAGAAATGACAAAAAATTGTATGGGACGTCCGGAAGAGAGGTACGGTCGCGGCTGGTCCCCTGTGAGCGGGGTGGGCGTGCTGCCACCGCCTCTGATACGCCGTTCGAGTTTCGTCTGGACGGCGCAGAGAAGACTAAGCCACCAGCTGGGGCTCCTAGACCACTGCGCTTCGCGCGTCGCGGTGAGCAGGAGGAGGAGGAGGAGGCGGAGGGGGAGGAGGCGGAGGCGGAGGAGGAGGAGGAGCCTGAGCAGGAGGAGGAGGAGGAGTAGGAGGAAGAGGAGGAGGAGGAGGAGGGGGCGGAGGAGGCGGAGGGGGAGGAGGAGGCGGAGGGGGAGGAGGAGGAACTCCCCTCCGGGAAGGCGGCGCGAGAGCGCGAAAAGGCGCCCTCCGAGGGTGCGCCGCCTCTGCCGACCCGCTCTCGAGCCATCGGTGTGGCATTCGGTGTGGCAGCTGGGCCTGGCCCTGCGGCGGCCTGATGCAAGATTTGGGCGTCTCTTGCACGCTCGGAGGTGGATAATAGATACATATGCGTACATAGTTTACACATATGATGAATGCATATCTATAAATGTATATGTACATGCCTATGTATGTGTATGCGTATATGCAAGTGCATATGTTTATGTATACGCATATGTTTATGCACATGCATATATGCATGCATTTGTATGTACATATATATGTATTCGTATATGCATATGCTCATATAGATGTATGTACATGTCTGCATATGTATGTGTATATGTATGTGCACATTCGTATGCATACTCAAATGCATATGCATATGTATGTGTACATGTATATACATATATGTGCATGTAAGTCACATGCTCATATATATACATATATATGCATATGTATATGTATATGTATATGTATGTGTATATGTATATGTAAACGTATATGTGTCTGCATATGTATATGCACATGTATATGTATACGTTGATGTATATGCGCATGCATATGTTTGTATACATATTGACATATACATGTATTTGTATGTGCATATGCAAGTTTATAGGCTTACGCATATGTACATGCTTATACGTACATATATATATATATATGCATATATAGATGTATGTGTATTTGTACATGTGTATGTAGATGCCTACGCATATATATATATATATATATATATATATATATATATATTCAGACAAACACACACATCAATATATATATATATATGTCATAAAACGGGGAACTGGGCCTCTGGCTCTTCTACAGTGGGGGCGGCGCGAAGGCGCAGGGGCGCGAGGACAGCAGCACGTCGTGCGTCGCGGGGCGCGGCGTGCGGAGGCATTTCGGAAGCTGGAGCATGTGCATCGCCAGTGGCGGGCTGCTTCTCAATCCCAAGATTTTTCGAGGGTCGGGAACGACGTCGGGGTGGTGTTGTGTGTACTTGTTGTATCCGTTTCCCGAGAAGGCGACGAAAAACGTATACACCCAGATCCCGTATACACCAGGATCCGTTTTCCGGTGCAAATTGAAGTGCAGGGCCGGACAACATGTCGGTGTATAGAGTTCGGCTCCTTAGCATGTTCGGAAGGGCCGACGTCGTGGACAGATCACGGCGTCTTTATAACGTCGCGGCCGTGGCCCCCGACCCCATCCCCCTGCGCGCCATTCCTCGGGCCAGGCCTACATTCGCTGGGGTGTCAGGGGTCCGACACGGAGCAAGCAGGTCGTTTGTCTTTGGGTCGTCGCTACGCCTAGGTCTGAGGGGTCCAGTGTGCTCCCCTCCCCTGAGGGGCAACGTAAGAGGGGACAGGCTCAGGGGGGGATGCATCGACCCGCAATCGCACCTTCATCGTCGATAGGGGCCCGATAGCCCCACCGCGCCCAGGAACTTCAGGATTCGCTGTCGGGGGCCTATCGGCGATCTCTCGGCGATGTGTCGCCGATCTATCGCGACGTGTCGCCTCCCCCTCCCTGAGCAGGTCCCCCCCCTATCTCGGGTTGGACGATCGGGGGGATCGGCAAACGCGGTTTCACTGATCCTGCTGTATGCAGCAGGTTTCGGCCCCGCCGCTGGGCGCGTTCCTTGATACTTTGGCGCCTCTGGCGCTAGGAGGCGCCAGGAGGCGCCAGGAGGCGCCAGGAGGAGGAGGAGGAGGAGGAGGAGGAGGAGGAGGAGGAGGAGGAGGAGGAGGAGGAGAGTAGGAGGAGAGGAGGGGAGGAGGAGGAGGGGAGGAGGAGGAGAGGATGAGGAGAGGAAGGAGGCGGAGGAGGAGAGGGGGAGGAGGAGGAGGAGGAGGAGGGGGAGGAGCAGGAGGGAAGGAGGAGGAGTAGGAGGCGAGGAGGGGAGGAGAGGAGGAGGAGGAGAGGAGGATGAGGAAGGAGAAGGAAGTAGAGTAGGAGGAGGAGGAGGAGGAGGGGGTGTCCTGGCCGGGGTCTGGGGGTGGGTTGTGCTGTCCTTGTCCCCCGCAGGCCATCTCGCACGGGGGGCAGACCCGCAGCATCACGGAGGTCTACGAGTGGAGCGTCGCGAAGGCTGGGCGCGGCACTGGGAAGGCGAGGCACCCAGGCAGGGCTCATACCCGAGGGAGGAAACACGCCACTAGCATAAACCGTTGGGGCGCTCCGCGCGGATCTCTTGGATCGGCGCCTGGCCCCCCCGCGGCGGCCCCCCCGGCGCCGCCCCCCGGCGCGCTCCGCGTGCCAGGGAGGGGGGTCCGGCGCAGCTCCAAGACATCCGCGCCGAGCGCTTATGGCGTGCCTCCTTTTGGACACGGCTCATTCCGACTCCTCTGTTTCGGCACGGCTCCGGCTCCCCTCGCCGACTGCGCACCGCAAGGTGGGGTCATTTGGGGGGGATCCAGGTCCGTTAGGACACCCGTCGGCGGGTAGAGATAAAAGCAGCGCGATGGGAAGGGATGGTGGGAAGAGTCGGATGTCCGATGTGGCGCGCGCGCCCGGCGTCATGATCCGACACGGCTCATTCCGATCTCGATCGATTCCGATTCCGATTCGGCTTGGCTCGGGGTGCCGCTGCGGCCTCGATCTCCGCCGATCTCCAACTGCTTTCGATCGCCGAGCCGGCTCCTCGACTCGCTTCGGGGCGCGCCCCCGCCCAGACTTCCAATAAGGGGGCCACATGCGAACCCTGCCGAGGGGGAGGAGGGGAGGAGGAGGAGGAGGAGGAGGAGGAGGAGGGGAGGAGGAGGAGGAGGAGGAGGGAGGAGGAGGAGGAGGAGGAGGAGGAGGAGGAGGAGGGGAGGAGGAGAGGAGGAGGAGGAGGAAGGACGATGAGGAGGAGGAGGAGGAGGAGTAGGAGAGAGAGAGGAGGAGAGGAGGACGGGAGGAGGGAGGCATGAGGAGGAGGACGGGGGGCAGTGTGGAGGGAGGAGGAGGAGGAGGGGAGGACCTCTTGGGGCAGGGCAGGGCATGCGGCCCCCTGCATGTCTCGATCGCCGAGCCGACTCCTCGATGCGCTCCGAGGCGCGCTCCTGCCCAGGACCTCCCCGACGGCTTGTGCTTTTGCCGTCCGCTCTCAGCGCTGCTCCCAGGCTTTTTTGGCCCCTGGGGCAGGGGGGCCCGCTCTCGGGCTCTGGGGCCCTCCTCCTCCTCCTCCTTCTCCTCCTCCTCGTCCTCGTCCTCGTCCTCCTCCTCCTCCTCCTCCTCCTCACCCTGGAAGCGACAGGGCCATCAGGCGCGGACCCTGGGCGCAAGCTTGGCCTTACAATCGTTCATGCCCTCCTACAGGACGGCTATCCAAAAATAGTTTTAGAGATAGTCAGGGGGCGATCTTTTTGACAACCTCATGCTATTTTTGCAATGCTTCGTGATTTTTGTTGTTGTTTCATTTGTCGTCCGAGATTCGCCTGTAGGAGGGCTTGCCCGGCCTAATACTGGCCCCGGGGAAGGGGTCGGGACCCTCTTGGGGCCGCGGACGGAGAAAACATCGGCGGATGTCAGGGAAGGTGCCGCCGTGCGTCAACTATGCTCGGGGGCGGCCAGGAGTGGGGTAATTGGCTAGGGGGTGGACATCCGAGGGATCACTGCCAGATCTCCTGGCGCGGCCGATGCCATGCGATGACGAATCGGTGCCGCTGCGGCCCGAAGCTCTGCGCGCTCCGATCCGAGCCGATTTCTCGATGCTCACCGAGCGCGTTCCCCTACTTGCAACGTGCCTCTCCGCAAACGTCAGACAAACACCTGTGTGTGCCTCGATGTGATGCATCGTAGATTCCCCGCGGCGAATCCAGGCCATTTGCGAGTAGTTACTCTGCGCGTAGTGGCACGCACTCGTCTAGACTCCTCCTCCTCCTCCTCCTCCTCCTCTTCCTCCTCTTCCCCCCCCTCCGCCTCCTCCTCCTCCTCCTCCTACCTCCTCCTCCTCCCCTCCTCCTCCTCCTCCTCCTCCTCCTCTTCCCTCCTCCCCTCCTCCCCTCTCCCTCCTCCTCTCCGCCTCCTCCTCCTCCTCCTCTCCTCCTCCTCCTCCTCCTCCTCCTCCTCCTCCTCCTCCTCCGCCTCCTCCTCCTCCCCCTCCTCCTCCTCCTCCTCCCCTCCTCCTCCTCCTCCTCCCCCCTCCTCCTCCACCTCCTCCTCCCCCTCCCCCTCCCCGTCTAGACGCGGCCCGGTTCGCTGCGCGCTGCGATCCGAGCCGATGTCCCGATGCGGCGCTGGCCGCTCGCAGGGCCGCCCCCTGGCGGAGGCCTCGCGCGCCCGCTGGGGGGGGGCGGCCCGCGCAGCGCCCCCCTCGCGCCGGAGGGCGCGCCGGGCCCTCTCGCGCGCAGGATGCCTCCTCGGCGCCCCCCTCGCCGCCGTCGTCGTCGTCGTCGTCGTCGTCGTCGTCGTCGTCGTCGTCGTCGTCGTCGTCGTCGTCGTCGTCTTCCGCTCCCTCGTCCGCCGTCCTCATCCCCTTCCAGCTCGTCCTCCCCCTCCTTCCGTTCTTTCCGTCGTCGTCGTCGTCGTCGTCGTCGTCGTCGTCGTCGTCGTCGTCGTCGTCGTCGTCGTCGTGCGTAGGCCTCCTAGATGGGGTCCGAGTAGATGGGGTCGGAGGATCGCGCCGCATCGCCGATGCATCGACGATGCAGCTGGAGGAGGGTCGAGGCTCTCAGGATGTCGGGGGCAAAGTCCAAGGGGGGGATGATTAGGCTCATGGGGACACGGCGGTCTCGAGCCTCGAGGTTTCCAGGCGTCTTGGTCGGTTCTCCCCGCGGTTTTCAGGCTCGGGGTGCCTTCCAGCGGCTGCGCCTTGCTGAGAGCGTTCTGGGGGTGCCGGAGTCGTCCCGAATTGCCGCCGGAGAGCCGAACTCTTCCCCGACGGCCACGGCGCCGCGGTGGGGGGGATCCGCTCAGGAAGGGAGTGCATCGACCCCCAGTCGCCCAATCGTCGTCGACGGGGGACCCATCGCCCCGCCCCGCTCAGGAGCGTGGGGAGCGGATCTGCCGACGATGTATGGCCGATTCGAGGTCGATGCCTCCCCCCCCCCCTGAGCGGGTCTCCCCTCCCCCCGACGTTGCACCTCAGAGGAGGGTCGAGGCTCAGAGGAGGGCCGCTTCGGTCTCCGATCCTCCTCGCGGGGAGGCTCGAGGGTCGCAGGCCTGGGTCACCCGCGGGGGCGCGAAGGTGGTCGCGCTTCGCGGGCCGCGGTCTGGGCCGGAGCGGTTGCCCTTCTTCCAGGGCGTGGCGCGAGAGGACGCACGGGCGCGAGGAGAGCCGCGCGCCGCGCATCGCGGGGCGCGGTGCACGGCGCTGAGCGACCCAGATCGAGGGGTGAAGACGGTCGAGGATCCAGGCGGTGGAGGACTCCCAGGACGGCAGCGGGAGCTTCCCCCCCTCCTCTGGAGCAAGGGGCGCCCGCACGAGGCGGAGGAGGAGGAGGAGGCGGAGGAGGACGAGGAGGAGGAAAAAGAGGAGAAGAGGGAGAAGAAGGAGGAGGGGGAGGAGAGGGAGGAGGAGCAGGAGGAGGGCCTGGTGGTGCAAGCAGAGACCCGCGCCCCAGAAGAAGACGAACAAGCAGCCCCCGGTCGTACCGCCCCCCGAGCCCGATGGCAACGAGTTCGAGATGGCCCCCTGCTGTGCTCCACTCCGTATCCGCTGCCACCGCTGCCGCCGCCCGCGGCCCAAGCCGCGCGGAGAGTAGGAGACTGGCCTGCGCTGCAGTAGTAGTAGTAGTAGTAGTAGTAGTAGTAGTAGTAGTAGTAGTAGTAGTAGTAGTAGTAGTAGTAGTAGTAGTAGTAGTAGTAGTAGTAGTAAGTAGTAGTATTAGTAGTAGTAGTAGTAGTAGTAGTAGTAGTAGTAGTAGTAGTATTAGTAAGTAGTAGTAGTAGTGGTCGTAGTAGTAGTAGTTGTAGTAGTAGTAGTAGTAGTA